TTCACTTCTACCTTTTCTCAAAGTCTCCTTTTCATTTTTATTCCTATGTTCATCTTATTTATATTTTAAGATTATTTTTAGGATATCATAGTAATATCCATAAAATGTTATCATTCCTGGTAAAACAAATATTTTAATATGTTGGCTGTTTCCTTTTTATCCCTCCCACGAAAACATAAGAAAATTGGTAAATATAAAAATTATACCAGAATATTTTTTAAATGCCAGAATTACTAATTTCCCAAAGAATTAGGTGAACACATTTCTAGAAAATAAGATGGGACTGGAGCTAAAGTTAAATCTCCATCCAGTTCTCAGCTGATTGTCTCTTTTTCTACGACCATGGTTTTTTTTTTCCCCCCTAATCGATAGCAGTGACTACTTGCTGCAGTTCAGAGTGGAAGAAATCAATTTTCCTTTCTAATAGGAAGGGCACTGTAGCATTTATAAATACAGTTTATCTAGTATAATGTCTTCTCTTTTATTCAGCCATAAAGTAACTGCAGTACCACTTGGCTATTCCTTAAAACACCAGAAAAATTAAGATATTCTATGGGGAACAGAAGTGAATATCCTGATTCAAACCAAACATCCAAACATTTTCTCATCCAGTAAAAGTTGCTGAGGATTTACTTTTGTATTAGTTTCATAGGGCTGGCTTAACAAATTACCAAAAAATGAGTGATATGAAACAATAGACATTCATTCTATCACAGTCTGTAAGCTACAACTTAAAATTAAGGAGCCATCAGGGCAAAATTCCCTCTGAAAGTTCTAGGGGAGAATTCTTCCCTTCCTCTTTCCAGCTTCTCGTGGCTCCAAGCAATCCTTGCTGTTCCCTGGCTTGTAGCTGCACCCCCTTTAATCTCTGCCTCTGTCTTCACATGGCCTTCTTCCTGTGCAACTGTGTATTACTCTCCTCTTCTTATTGATGTGGAATTTTTGGACTGGAACCTGGATTCTTTGTCCGCTGGAGGAGAAGAATGAATCCATGGACAGAAGATCGTATTGCTAAGGTGGAAATTTATTAAAGAACAAGTACACACTCCTACGTAGGGAGGGGGAAGAGTCCCATAGAATGGAGAGGGAAAGGGTCCCACTGAGTTCCTTTTTCCTATGGCTTATATAGGCTGCAGATCTTGGTGCCCTGATATCCCCTCTGATTGGTCACTATTCCCTTAGACTGGTTACTATGGTAACTCCTGAGATCAAAGGTCAGACCTCACTTGGTACATATGAGGTCTCAGCAGCCCCCTCCACCTCCCAACCACTTCCTTATTGTTTTCCTATTTCTTTTAGGCTTTCCTCTTCTCTTCTGGATGCTAGGCTTCCTTCCCTTTATTTTGTAAATAGAGACCTTTTGCTGTTCCCAGCTTCCTCATTCTATGTTAATAGACCTGTTGCAGCTTTTCAGCTCCCCTATTCTATAGAAATATTGAAAGGGCGAGGGCTATGCCCTCCATCTTGCCCGTATCCTCCATGTTGGGGTAGGAGCCATGTGCTCAGACCCCTTTCTTCCTGGAAGCCCAGGCCTCTGCTGGCCACGCCCGGGATTTGAAACTAACCAATGACAATCCAGGGACATGCTCACCATAGACATGACCACATCCTTATGTAACAGGACCCGGCTTGGGCCTGGCCAATCGGCAGGGCCCACAGTCTCCTCACTCCACCCCCTATTAAAACCCTGTTTTTCCCAGGCGGTTTCACTCTGCTTCAGGTCACTGCGTTGGCCTGAAGCAGGAGTCGGGCCGGCTAGCCCAATAAAAGGACCTTCTGCTTTTGCATCGAACTGACTCCTAGTGTGGACTTTTAGGGATCATGACATCTGGGCATAACAAATATATCTTCTGCTGCTCTGCAGACCTGTGCTTCTTCCACGGTCCCCTTAATTTCTAAAATTTCCTAAAACCTGTCTTTCTCATCCCGCAAAATTCCTGTTTCATTATAACTACACCAGTCACTGGATTTAGGAGCCTCATTAATCCAGCATGGAGGAACCTGGAAAGTATTAAGTTAAGTGAAATAAGCCAGTCAGAGAAAGACCAGTATCACATGATCTCACTCATATATGAAATCAAAATTGTTTTGGAGACATTGAAGCATGAAACAGACTGATGAATTTCAGAGGGAAGGGGGGATTTACCAAAGAACTTATATGTATACTAGAGGCCAGACGCATGAAATTCATGCAAGAGTAGGCCTTCCTTCCCCTGGCTGCAGGCACTGTCTTCCCTCTGATACCTGGGACCCGGGGTTCCCTCCAGCCACCAGCATCCAGGACCCAGGCTTTCCTCTGGCTGCCGGCAGGCACACAGGACCTGGGCTTCCCTTGCAGCCCTGGCTTCACCTGGAAGTTTGTCTGGAAGGTCTAATTAGCATATTAAACTCATTAGTATAGACTAGAGGCAGACACAAGCAGGGCATATTTTGAGAGAAAAAATTTAAAAAACAACCAAAAAAAATAAACTAGTGGCAAAGGAGTTATTGGAACTTGGTTTTAGAAATACTTAGAAGTTTTCTTCTAATATTTTATTCTTTCACCCTTTTCTCCAGCTTTAAGTCCTGTTTATACAAAGGTAAGGAAATTAAATTTTAAAGTATGAAAAAACAGTGGGATTCCACATTTATAAAAAAAATATTTACTATTGCATGGGTGGGGAATTAAAGAACTGGAAAACTGATAAATATTTATCTAGTCAGCATAACCATCAAAACATGATTCATACAGATGTGTCAAATCCACTTCACAATAAATCAATAATATCAAGAGGGTACCATTATGTTAGGCTTACTGACTCATGCTCCAAATTACTAATTCACAGGGAATGTATAACAATCTAATCTTTCCTATATTATCATTAACTTTCACCTTAGGAAAAAGAAAGAAAATGAGTAAGTGATGGTTCACTCAAAAACAAAATCAGTATCTGCTATTGATAGAGGCAATTATTGAAATGCCTGATTATGATACATGTGCGCTGTATAAATGCATACATTTTATGTCACAGTTTCAAAAGTTCAGAAGTTTCTTGTCAGGCGAAATTACTGATTAATAGTTAATTCTTGCTAAAGTATGCATTCTCAATTGTCTTGGATTTCATTGTTGAATCTTTAAAATGTTTTCCTATCCATAGGCTGATAATATAATGAATTGATTAGTATAAAGCATATGGAAAAACCAGTGAAGACTTGATGGGATGGTGAACACACAATACAGTGTATAGATGATGTGTTTTGGACTTGTGCACCTGAAACATATCTAATTTTGTTAACCAGTGTCACCCCAATAAATTAAATAAAAATAAAAAACTAAAATTTTTTAAAAAGAAAAAAGAGTAAGAGTACTGTTTACCAGATAAAAATAACAATTATTTAATGAGCTAGTATATTATTACTATGACTAGAGGTCCAGTGCATGAAATTCGTGCATGGGGGGTGTCCCTCAGCCTGGCCTGCACCCTCTCCATTCTGAAATCCCTCTGGGGATGTCCGACGGCCAGTTTAGGGATGATCCCTGTGGCAGTCAGACATCCCTCTCACAATCCGGGACTGCTGGCTCCTAACCACTGGCCTGCCTGCCTGCCTGATTGCTCCCAACTGCACTCCCATGCCTACTCAATCACCCCCAGCTGCTTCCCCTGCTGGCCCGATCACCCCCAACTGCCCTCCCCTGCTTGCTCGATCACTCCCAACTGCCCTCCCCTGCCTGCCCGATCACCCCCAACTGCCCTCACCTGCAGGCCTGGTCACCACACAACTTCCCTCCCCTGACAGTCATTTTGTGGTGGCCATCTTGTGGAGGCCATCTTGTGACAACGTTGCAGTGGTCATCTTGTGATGATGTCATGTGAGGGCAACAGGCGACACAACCTAGGCTTTTATTATATAGGATGGGAAATAAGTGGTAAGAGACACTATTTGAATTAAAGTTCATTGTAAGCCAACATTTTGCTATATCTTTTGCATAGTGCCCATGCAAAATATTTTTTTCATGTTTATTACTGCCATTAGAAATATTTCTCTAAAGATGCAAGAATGTGTTCTGCAGGTATAAGTTTCTTTTTTTTTTATTTTTTTTTCATGTTTATTGTGAAAACGGTGATCTTGTGAAGTTTGCATACCACAGTATCAGGCATTACTTAATATCCATTTTGATGGCTGTTTACATCACCTAAAAATAATATGACAACTGGTAGCATATATACATCCTTTTCAAAACTGCTGAAAAACAGAAATAATGTGATTCAAATACATGTCGCCGAGGAGCTGGGATCCGCTCTTCAATGATAGGATGGTAAACTTTACGTGTTGGCCAGATAAAAAGAAATTGCTCAGCCTCTTTTTTTCTGTATTAAAATAATGAGTCCTAGGTGATAAAGTAATAAGACCCAATACATTAAATCAGAATATTTACATAAGTTCAATAATGTTTTAGACCAAACAAAAACAAAAAGGAGAAAGTATGGAATCATTCTTATTCTAAATTTAATTTTTTTTTCTATTGCTTCTTAGTTACAAGCATTTCAAAGACTTTTTAATAATACAGTAACTTTTAAACTCCTGGTGGAGATGAGGTGAGGTAACATTTAATTAAAGCAACAAGTTACCCCAGGTATGTGAAAATACCTTGCTGTTAGTTTCAGGGATATTTTGTACCATTCGACAGGGAAGAAGCTTGGGTAATTGTCTCAAGAAAGTGCTGTCTCATCTGAAATTTGAAGTTCAATGTAGTTTAAGACGTTTTCTCTTTGGGCCATTTAAAAAAAAAAAGACTGTATTGAATTATTTTAAGTTACACCAATCCTCTGGAAGCTACCTAAAAAGAAAGGGCTTTTTTTAAAAATGAATAATTAATTTTTATATCCTTTTCTAAATTATGGGAATACTTACTGATAACACTAAATTTGTTTTTATAAGAGCCTACTTCTAACTTAAAGATCAGTAACAAGTCACCACCACTGACAAAGTTATCTAGGGATAGGAAACTGCACATTTAGTCAGAAAATAAATCACGAACCTGTAATTCCAATTACACAAAGATAATGAAAACAAATGATTTGTCTCCAGAAACCATGTGTTAAAGCTGATTTTTGGACAATGAGACTGTATTTCTTAATCTACATATTCCAAGTCTAAGCAAAGTCACTGGCACGGTTTCTGTTTTGTCTGGGATGTAAACATTATTTTAGCATGTCTCTGTTCCCAAGATACTTTCCCCATCTAAATGTGAAACAGAATACTGGCAAGGTTAAACTCCCTTCAAAGAGTCCAAACACCCAAAAGCAAAGTGTCTTCCCGGTGCGGGGGAGGTACCCACAGAATATCAGCCCCATGTCTGAGCGAGGCTGGCTGGTCTAGGTTGTCAGTCTTCAGGGTGGTTAGGCTCATACATGCTGTGTTTACGCTAACACTGCCCCGTTGATTCAAAAAGGCATCCACTGTCTGGATTTCAAATGCTAACTAATTGCCTATATTTTCAAATTCAGTAAAAGCAACCAGGTTGTTGTTTTTTTAAAACACATACACCATGTCATTTGAGAGCAGGATCTTGTTTTACCAATAATGTTGGCCTGTATAGGAGAGAGTTGCAATCACAGGCCTTTAGCTTTTTACGGAAGCTTAGCCAAAATAAGACAACATGAAAACAGCATGAATAAACAACCCAGCGTCTTGAAGAATTTAAGTGCCTACTATCATGACAGTGAGCTTTAGGTAAAAATGTATCATTAGCGGGCTTTCTCCTCTATGACTGGACGTAATTTGCTGTTCCTAAGATGGTCACGTCAGAATTCTTTTTCAGGATTCCTGCGGAGCCGTGCTCATGTTACACCCATGTGAACTGCTGTCATCACTACTGTGGCCAAACCCGGAGGATGAACTTTCTGAACCATAATCTATATTGTTTTCTTGTTCTCCGGCTTCATCTTCTTCGGGGAAGCGTCTGTTCATCAAGGCGAACTTGTGAATTGCTTCCTCTACCGAGTACTTGGTCTGCCCAGAAACGCACGCCTCGATGTCTTCCGAGTTCAGATGGCTTTGCAAGAAGAGGTGCAGGCTGCTGTCTGAGAGCAGGAGCGCGTTGTGTAGGACCTGTCTGAGGAAATCTTCCAGACCCTGACGCCGCTGGTCCACATGCTGGCGATTGTTCATGTGAAAAACAGGGTTTTAAGATGAAGCTCTGGCAGTGTACAACAATGCATTACTCTGGAG